TTTTTTTTTTTTGTATTTTTAGTAGAGACGGGGTTTCACCATGTTGACCAGGATGGTCTCGATCTCTTGACCTCATGATCCACCCGCCTCGGCCTCCCACAGTGCTGGGATTACAGGCTTGAGCCACTGCGCCCGGCCATGAACGTTCTTAATTAAGAGAGAACATTGGGCCAGATGTGGTGGCTCATGCCTTTAATCCCAGCACTTTGGGAGGCCGAGGTGGGTGGATCATTGAGGTCAGGAGATTGAACCCATCCTAGCCAACATGGTGAAACCCTGTCTCTACTAAGAATAAAAAAATTATCTGGGTGTGTGGCGCATGCCTGTAATTCCAGCTACTCGGGAGGCTGAAACAGGAGAATTGCTTGAACCTGGGAGTCAGAGTTTGCAATGAGCCAAGATGGCGCCATTGCACTCTAGCCTGGTGACAAAGTGAGACTCTGTCTCAAAAAAAAAAAAAAAAAAATATTATGAACTGCAGGATCCTATCAACAATGGGCAGTGTGCACATATCTTTCCTTGACATTGGATTAACAGGCATATCTATTAGAAGAGCTTCTCTGTGTTTTATAGCAGTGTTTTTTACAGCTTTTCAGAAACAAACAAAAAAGCAGTGTTTTAGTGTCTTTGAATTATAGAGATGTGGTCACAGCATACTTTTAGCCCTCTGAGAAATCTCAGAAATGGGAGAGCTCTCACATCATCAAAGGCTGCCAACATATTAGTTTGGTGGTTTTTTAGGAGACAAACTAATTCTAAATAATAATCAACAATTTCTATAAATATTCCAGAATAGATTATTGAATAGTTGGTTTTTGAAGACCTGGAAAAGAAATCATTGATCATCCAGAATCTTCATGTGTTCTTGAAATATACCCTCCACTTTATTGATAGAAGACATGGTTCTATCAATTTTGCAGTAACCTAGGAACTAATTAGCATGTAATTCAGGACCCTGTTTGAGTTCAGCAGAGTGATAAGCTCTGTAAGTTATTTTAAGAGCATTCTCAGACACCATGTTAAGCGTCAAAATAAGTAATTCCAAACTTCGTCTTAATATAATGATACATGTGCTTGTTTTTTTCCTCCTTGGCAGTTCAGCTTTGGAAACATGGGGTGGAGAATGACTGTTTTGAATATTTTGTTTCTCTTCATTTCCCAGTTATGATTAATGGAAAATATTGCTGTCCAAAGATATACTTCAACCACCGTTGCTTCTCAGGGCCATATCTTAACAAAGGAAGAATTGCTGAGCTGCCTCAATGTGTAGGACCTGGGAACTGTGTTCTAGTCCTTAGAGAGGTAAGGTTCTGGCCTAGAACAAAATAACTTGGAAATTTCACAGCATTCTGCTAGGGTCATTTCTGCAGGGAGCCACATGCCATAGATGTGACAGTTCTAGGTTTTATCAAAAGTGACTAACTTTCCTCATGTTTTGGACAGTAAAGAGGGCATGTAATTATTTTTACTCCCTAGGAAACATTCACGTAAACAGTTCTTCACAAAGCAGGTTCACCTCGGTCAGGGTAGAAAGGCCTTCTCTCAGCCAAGAGAACTGTACAAAAGAGAACTGTGAGGTTACTCTATGACTGAGAGGCTGTGTGGCATTAACCTAGTGGCCGTGATAAAGCTACACATCTGCCAGGCTTTCTGTGCTTCCCAGCCAGTGTGGTATACTGCAAGTAACACATAAAGAGACCTTTCAGCCATCAGAGTGGCAAGTCAGGATCTGGGGAAGCCAGAGCCTCTGGACCAGACTCCTTTAGCCACAAGAAGGCTCAGCTGTCTGCACAGTGGTCCAAACAAATACAATTTTCTGTGTGTACCATGGCTGGGAAAGCATTTGAAACCTTATTCTGGAGCAATTTGAAAATCATGGTGCTTTTTTTTTTTTTTGACTGTAACATTTTGAAAATGTTGAAGAGGATCTGGTTACCCTCTTATTTGCATCTTTGGGTGGCTGTCATATCTCTGATATTATTATTTTGTTAATATTTGTTAATTCATGATAGCTAATGAGCTCTAAATAAATAAATAAACAAATAAAACATTTGTTAATTCATGTGACTAGAATTAACTTCCTAAGTGACCTTAACATTTTAATAGAGAGATGACAAGATTCTAATGGTCTGCTTTTCTCTTTCCCAATCTGTGCTTCTGCTTTAAAACTGAACTTAGGTCCTCACTTTACTTATCAATGCAGCCTACAAACCCAGCCGCGTCCTTCGGGAGCTCCAGCTGGACAAAGACTCTGTGTGGCATGGATGTGGGGAAGTCCTAAAAGCCAAGTAAGTAGACTACTTGTCTTTTACTTGTCTTTAAAAAGCTACAGAACCAGTCGGGCACAGTGGCTCACACCTGTAATCCCACCACTTTGGGAGGCCGAGGCGGGCAAATCACAAGGTCAGGAATTCAAGACTCGCCTGGCCAACAAGGTGAAACCCTGTCTCTACTAAAAATACAAAAATTAGCCAAGCACGGTGGCACATGCCTGTAATCCCAGTTACTTGGAAGGCTGTGGCAGGAGAATCACTTGAACCCGAGAGGCGAAGGTTGCAGAGAGCAGAGATCACGCCACTGCACTCCAGCCTGGGTGACAACGCGAGACTCTGTCTCAAAATAAATAAATAAATAAATTCACAGAATCAGTTCTGTGGATAATTATCAGAAGCCTTATGTTTCTTTAGGCAGGGCTTTTTCAGCTATTTGTGGTGAAAGGCCAGACTTGTTTTTCTTTTTTATATTCCCATTCTTTCATGAATCAATACATTTATAAAAAATGATACAGTGAATTATAAGAAATACAAAATTTAAGGCTGGGTGTGGTGGCTCACACCTGTAATTCTAGTACTCTGGGAGGTTGAGGTGGGTGGATCACCTGAGGTCAGGAGTTCAAGACCAGCCTAGGCGACATGGTGAAACCTCGTCTCTACTGAAAATACAAAAATTAGCCAGGCATGGTGGCAGGCACCTATAATCCCAGCTACTTGGGAGGCTGAGGTAGGAGAATTGCTTAAACCTAGGAGGTGGAGGTTGCAGTGAGCCAAGATCATGCCATTGCACTCCAGCCTGGGCGGCAGGAATTTGAAATTTGAAAACCTTAACTTAGGAACTTGGAACTTAATTTTGCTAATTTAAATAACTCAACTTTTAGTTGTCATAGCTTACCAGATTTAATTTGATTTAAGTTCAATATGCAGAACTTCCTTGTTTTCAGGGTCTTCAAACTATAAAGGACATAGAATATTCCAAGAAGCAAAAATATTTTTTAGGTATATTAATATGTTTGATTTTTCTCTGGGTAATCAGTAACCCAATTCATTTGGCATCTGATGTCTTCTAATGGCAGATATAAAGGAAAAAGTTATCGGGCTACTGTTGAGATAGTGAAAACAGCAGACCGGGTGACTGAATTCTGCCGGCAAACCTGTATCAAACTGGAATGCTGTCCTAACCTCTTCGGTCCACGGATGGTTCTGGATAAGTGTTCTGAGAACTGTTCTGTACTTACAAAGACCAAATACAGTGAGTCATGTTTTTCCAATGTGTTGACTATAGCAGCTGACCATACCTTACGTCTTGGAAAGTTTTTTACTTTACAGATACTCATATATAGCAGAGGCACACAAAATTCTTCTGTAAAGGGTCAGATGAGAAGTATTTCATGCTGTGAGTTGTATGCTTTCTGTAACATTCTTTTTTGTTGTGTTGTTTTTTCATTTTTTTAAGAACCCTTTTGGCTGGGCTCGGTGACTCATGCCTGTAATCACAGCACTGTGGGAGGCCAAGGTGGGTGGATCACTTGAGGTCAGGAGTTTGAGACCAGTCTGGCTAACATGATGAAACCTCATCTCTACTGAAAATACAAAAATTAGCTGGGTATGGTGGCCCATGCCTGTAATTCCAGCTACTCTGGAGGTGAAAGCGGTTCAATCACTTGAACCTGGGAGATGAAGGTTGCATTGAGCCAAGATCACACCACTGCACTCCAGCCTGGGTGACAGAGCGAGACTCTGTCTCAACAAAACAAAAAAGAACCACCAGGCGCAGTGGCTCACGCCTGTAATCCCAGCACTTTGGGAGTCCAAGGCAGGCGGATCACGAGGTCAGTAGTTCGAAACCAGCCTGGCCAATATGGTGAAATCCCATCTCTACTAAAAAACACAAAAAGTAGCCAGGCGTGGGGGCGCTTGCATGTAGTCCCAGCTACCTGGGAGGCTGAGACAGGAGAATCACTTGAACCTGGGAGACAGACGTTGCAGTATCACTGCACTCCAGCCTGGGTGACAGAATGAGACGCCGTCTCAGGAAAAAAAAAACGTAAGGGTCATTTTTGGCTTGGGGGCTATACCAAAACAGGTCCGGGGCCAGACTTGGCCCATGGGCCTTAGTGTGCCAACTTTTATATATAGCATGTGTCTAAATTGGTTATTGTATCTAACAGGAGCTTTCATATGGCATGTATCTAAATTAGTTATTGTATCTAACAGGATACGTAATTCATTCATACAACCTGTAAGTGTATATTTTGTGCTTATTGTGTCTTTCTGCTGTTCTAGCACTGGGATACAACAATAAAGAAAACAAATTCCATCCTCAGTGAGTTTACCTTTAATGTGGGAGACAGATAATGAATAGGGGAAGAAATTTAGAGAGAGAAGTATTGTGGGGAACAGTGAAGCAAGGTGGGGAAGCAAAGTAGGAGAGTGAGGAAGGGTGGGAGGTGGGGTGCTGTTTATGCAAGGGGTCAGGGAAGTCTTTCGACAGGTAACACCTTGAAGGAAACAGGAGCCAGCAGTACAGACAGCTGGGTGGGAGTGTTCTGGGAAGGGCGCATCAAGGGCACAGGCTTGAGGCAGGAGCTTGCTTAGTGTCTGTGGAGAGCAGCAAAGAAGCCACGGTAGTTTGGGAGGTGGAAATAGGAGAGGAGTTAGTTGCAGCCTCACCTTGAACTGTCATAGCACCTGTTCCCTGTCCTTGCTTATCTTCTCCTTTGTGAAACTGGGGCAGGAGTCACATAGGATGAAATTTACAATTTGAAGACTTGTCAGGGCATTGCCACCCAAACACAGAATTCTGATCCTACCTTTCCTTAAATCCTACAAGTCCTGATGTCACTTGGGAGAATCAGTACGGAGGAGGATCTTTACCTTGTTAAAATTGAAAGATCTTTTAGGGATCTGTGCCTCTGAAACTATAGTGCATGCAGATCACTAAAGGATCTTGTTAAAATGGAGATTCTGATGTATCAGGTCTGTGGGTATCTGGGTCCTGAGTATGTCTGCATTTCCAGCAAACTCCCAGATGCCACTGATGCTGCTAATCCAAGGTCCATACTTAGCACGAGGAGCTTTCTAATCAGTATTTGAATTACAAAATCATGTAAGTCTAACCTTCTAGTTTGTATTTATATTTATTGGATTGTAAACTCCTTAAGGGTAGGAATTACCTTGGCCTCTTTGTTATCAGATTCAGCACTTAGTTTAGGAAACTGCAATTATTAGGAGCTGAGTGAAGAATACTGTTAATATAAGTACATGTATAAGTACATTACTGTGAAAGAAATATGTGGAAGGAAGATATGTAGTTTTTATTATGCTTTTTGTTAAATTACTAATTTCAAATTAGTAATTTGAATGTCAAATGGATTAATATCCTTTAGAAAATTTCAATTTTTTTCATAAAATTATATTTTGATATTTTATCTATAACTCAGAGCTAGAATATGTATGTTTCATTTCTGAAATGTATATTCTAAAATTTCTGTGAAAATGTAGAGGATCTAGAATAGCTGAAACAATTTGGAAAAAAGAATAAAGTTGGAAGACTTAGTCTCTCTCTTTTTTTAACCATAAAGTTATAATAATCAAAACTGTGGCATTAAAAAACTGTCAAATAGAACAATGGGACAGACCACAGAGTCCAGAAATAGAGCCAAACTTAATGTGGTTAAATGATTTCCAACAAGAGAGACAAGGAAATTTAATGGAGAAAGGAAATTCTTTTTAACAGATACCACTGGTACAACCAGATATCCAAATAGGGAAAAAAATATATATAATAAAACATAACTCTTTGGATCCTACCCCATAGCATACACAAAAATTAATTCAAGATGTATTATAGACTTAATGTAATAGCTAAAACTATATGACTTCTAGAAGAAAAAGAAAATATCCTCAAGATCTTGGGATAGTGAAAGATTTCTTAGAGAGGATCCAGAAATACACTAACATAAAGGAAAAAGTTAAAAAATAAGACATTACCAAAATTAAAAACTTTTGTTCTTTGAATAATGCCATTCTTTAAAAAAAGGAAGACAAGCCACAATCTTGGAGAAAGATTCTTAATACATATATCCAACAAAAAAGTTCTCTCCGGAATATATTAAGAATTCCCACAACTCAATAATAGAAAGAGAAGTTTTGAAACTAGTAGTTGCATGACATTGTGAGTATTCTAAATACCTCTGAATTGTATACTTTAAAATGGTTAATTCATGTTATGTGAATTATATTTCAAAAAAACATTTTAAACAATTTTAAAAAATGAATGAAAGGCTTGAACATACACTTTATGAAAGCAGATATACAAATGGCTGATAAGCTCATGAAAAAGTACACAATATTATTAGTCATCAGGGAAAATAAACTCAAGTCCAAAGTACAGTGAGAAATCACTACATGCCCACTAGTTTGGCTAAAATGACAGATTGACAGTACCACGTGTTGGTGAAGGTGTAGAGCAACTAGATCTCTCATGCATTGTTGGTGGGAGTGTAAAATTATACATCCATTTTGGAAACCTGTTTGGTAGTTTGTTTAAAAGTTAATCATACCCTATGATCCAGCAATTTAATTCCTAGTTATTTATTTGAGGAAATGAAAACATGCCCATTAAAAGCCTTGTATAGGAATGTTCATTGCAACTTAATTAATGATCATTAAAACCTGGAAGCAGCCCAAGTGCCTGTCAGCAGGAGAATGGGTAAACTGGTACATTCATACAGTGGATTGCTATTCAAGATAAAGGAATGAACTACTTATACAAGACTCAAAAACATTATGCCTAGTAGAATAAGGATCACACAAAAAGGTGCTTACTGTGCAGTTCCATAGAGGCAAAGCTAATCTATAGTGATAATGTTTAGAATAATGGTTGGTTGCTTCTAGTAAGGGGCACTGACTGGGAAGGGACCATGGGAACTTTCTGGGTTGAAGATATTCTGTATACTTTGATATGGGGGGATCATTCAGGTTTATGCATCTGTCAGTACTAGTCAAACTGTGCACTTCAGATGTGTTTATTCCACTGTATGGAATTAAACCTCAATCAAATACAATGCGCCTGGTTTTTGCTATGCTGGTAAAATCTCTTATAGTTTTGAAGTACACAGAAATAATGAAGTTACTTCATTTTTCTTTGTCATCCACATTTAGCACACTATTACGGAAAGAAGAAAAATAAAAGAATTGGGAGGCCACCTGGTGGTCATAGTAACTTAGCTTGTGCCCTGAAAAAAGCCAGTAAGAGGAGAAAGAGGCGGAAAAATGTTTTTGTTCATAAGAAGAAACGCTCCTCTGCATCTGTTGATAATACCCCAGTGGGCTCTCCCCAGGTATGAGATCTGTGATGTGCCTGTAATGTCTTGAAGCCAAGTGACCACTGCTTTATAGTGTGGACACAGAATACCTGCAGGTCTTTCTAACTCAGATCTCTACCCAACAGAAGATGGTTTTGTGGCCTAGGAACTGGTTTGTCCTGAATTTCTTTTCTTTCTTTCCTTTTTTTTTTTTTTTTTTTTTTTAATTATATGAAACCTGAGATTGATGTCCTGAATTTCAATGAGACTTCTCTCCTTTTCCTGCAGGGAAGTGGGGGTGAAGATGAGGATGACCCAGATGAAGGGGATGATGATTCCCTAAGTGAAGGCAGTACATCCGAGCAGCAGGATGAGTTACAGGAAGAATCAGAAATGTCAGAAAAAAAGTCATGCTCCTCCTCTCCCACCCAAAGTGAGATGTCCACATCGCTGCCTCCAGATAGACAAAGGAGAAAAAGGGAGCTTCACACCTTTTCATTTTCTGATGATGAAAATAAACCTCCTTCACCAAAGGTACCATTTAAAAAATAGTTTCTTTTTTATTTTTCTCTCTAGATTTTCCCTCTGGAATATGGTTATTAATGATATTGGCATTCTACTTCTTTCAATACAAACTTATATAGAATTTCCAGGATCTCTTGTAAAGCGATCCCAAATGCATTGATTTACATGTGTTTCAAGGATTAGTTGAGGTCACCTACTTACAGGGGAGAAGTCTGCGCTAGAGTAGCTGCTTGTTTTAATTAAAGCAAACAAAAAAAATGTTCCATGGCTAGCTTAGTTTTAACTTGTCATTTAGTTTTGGAAAAACTGTCTTTTTAATATTTTTCATAATATATATGATTTGTAGAAAAAGAATTATCCTTTTGATTCTGGTTAAACCACTTGGTTTAGTATGTTTACTATATACATATGAACATTATATAACATATACAACACTAAGGAACAGGAATTAAGTTAGTGTTCTATTTTTCTTTGTTAAATTGTCCAAATTATCCTGAAACTTGGAAATTAATTCCCATTGATATTTTGTATTATAAAAGACAAACATTTCCTGAGTACCTACTGCATGTGGGTCTTCGCTGGGAGAAATCGTGTCCTAAGACCACTTTAAATCATGTCTTGAAAGATTATGCATTTATGTAGAGAGACTTTTTTAGAACAAAATAGCCTTACACCTTTTGGTTTGATTGTTTTGTGGGGAATGAAGGAAATAAGGATTGAAGTTGCTGAAAGGCTTCACCTGGACAGTAACCCCTTGAAGTGGAGTGTGGCAGACGTTGTGCGGTTCATCAGATCTACTGACTGTGCTCCACTAGCAAGAATATTCCTAGACCAGGTAATCACAGATCTCTATAGTTTTTAGTAATGTCTCTTTAGCAAAGAATTATGGATGTAATAGTCAATAATTTATTTACAAGTTTTAGGAAAAATGTTTTGATCCAAAAGAAAAGAATGTCTTAATTCCATTTTTAGAGGTCAAAAGATAATAAAAAGTTTGTATCAGATTTGCTCCATAGCTGAAACAGATTATCATTGCATTCCAGTTTTTCCCAGGAATTTTATTCCATCCCTCCAATATCAAGTATGCCATGCTTAATTGACCTCATCTTTTCAAAAATAATGATTTGCTTGTTTAAAAAAAATTAGCATCTGTAATGTTAGCCTCTAGAGCGGTGGTCAGTTTTAAGGCAAGCTTGCTGAAACATAAATATTCAGTGGCCTTAAACGTTGAAATAAGTTTTGTTTAGATAATTAGGAAGGTTCAAGAGCTTATCAGGTTTTTATGAATGTTACAGAGTAAGAAAACATTGAAGTTTAAAATACTTTGTTTCAGATTTAGAAGGAGCCCTCTAAAAAGATGGCACAATTAGCTGTCAGTTACAGGGCTGGTTAGTTTACTAAATTTCTATGGGGCATAGACTCTGTGGAATGGATTCTTATCCTTAGTCAGACTTTATTGTGCTCAGTAAAACTTTGTTAATTCTGAAGCTTCATTAGTATGGTGGACTATGGAGTCACTTAAAAAGCAGTGTGTGATACCTAAGACGAAAAAGTAAGGAAAGAAAAGCACAGGGACTCTAATGTTGACAAAGCTAAAGTGAGCAGAGGCTGTCATGATTAAGCTGCCTTTCCATGTGCACATCATAATTTGTCTTTTGTGCTTTAACAGGAAATTGATGGGCAGGCCCTATTACTCCTTACCCTACCCACTGTTCAAGAGTGCATGGACTTAAAATTGGGCCCTGCCATCAAACTTTGCCATCACATAGAAAGGATCAAGTTTGCTTTTTATGAGCAGTTTGCCAACTGAGAAGGACAACCAAAGTGAGCTGGATCTTTGAAGCACAAATGCAGCAAATCCTTCACCCTGCTTTATAAGTGGAACTGTAATAGTCCTGGGGCTCTGGGCCCTGCAGGTGTCAGCTTGCTCTCTTTGCACTTTCGGGGAAGGAAGACTAACAGTGAGGAAGCAAAAACTGTGCACAGAAGTGGATCGCCTGCCAGTGGAAATGTGGACATCTCTTGTTCAGCAGATGGCAGTTTTAAAAAAATTAAGGTTGTAAAGAAAAGACTTATATAAGAAGAAAAGCATTTCCAGTGGTGTGGCCTGAAAACAAAGAATAACCTAGGCTGCTGGAAAGCACCCTTTTGGTTGTTTTCATTCTGTTCCTTCCCATTGTAGATTGAACTTTGTTCTCTGCTTTCTTTTTCTTGGAAAGAGAGGACATAGCTTTAAGTCAGCACTGATTTGGGACTGTGCCTAAGGCATATCAGTGCTTCTTTGTCATTGTGTTTTTAAGCTTTTTAAAATTAAAACAGTTCATTTTGGGGATGATTATGTGGCTCTAGGGTTTTGAATGTATAGTCACACTTTGATCCATTTTAAAATCTATTCTTAGGAGTTCCTTTGTTTACTACCTCTGTTAATAATTGAGCTTACAGCCATGTATGAGGTTTTTTGTATGATGCCATTTTTAAGCTACATGAACACTAAAATTATGACAGAATTTGGAGGGGGGAATCTGTTTGCTTTCTTAAAAACATAATGTGGGCACTTACACCAGTTCCTTAACTGACCCCATCTAAGAACTCTACTGTTACTGTTATCTATCTTGACCCAGCCTGGGCTGCCTGTGTTAAGTAACATCACAAAGACTGTTTGTATTTCCATTTAATTGCTCTCTCCCTTTTCATTCTCAGATGGACTTCAGTGACTTTTATTTTGTGTTTACTTTTCTCTAGAGTTGTTTGTCTACCTCTATTTTATTTCTAGGGGTCTTTACCTTGGGTAAAAATCAGTAGGTGTTCCATGGACCCACAGCGAAGCCTATTTGTCCTTTCCAGGTGTCTCCAGTGTAGAAGCACAGCACAGAAAACATGTTTTGGAGGGTAACGCAGAGCATGGGGTTTCTGTAGCAGTGTCCTCAGTGGCTGGATAAATGTTGAGATGTCGTTAAGGATTTTGTAAACCTCTTTGCCTAGCCACACTTAGACTCTTTTCAGCTAATCCTTTAAATTGAATATAACCTTTAGTCTGAGGATTCCCATTTAAATAACTCAGTATTCTTTTATCTTTAACTCAGCTCAAGTTAACGTGAAACTCCAGGTGAATTTTCACTTATGATTCCATTGCTGGCTATTATAGAATAATAGCATTTGCTGTACTATTCTAGTCATGAGGAGTGAGGAAAAATACATATAGTTTGCCTCCCTTAAATGGTTTGCTTTGCTGAATTTTTTTTAATCTTAATCACCTACAAATTTATAACCCAATCGTTCTTCCTCAGGATTTGAAAATGTTTTAAGCCTGCAAACTGGGTAAAGTCTAAACAGCTCTACAAATATAAGGAAATATAGCAAATTTTAATTGATTGAGATTTTTTTTTCCATTCCCCACCATGCCAAGCTATTTTTGTGGACACTGGCAAATAGTCTGGAGCCTCTCTTCATTGGATAATTCATGGACCAGCTTAACTCAAGCCCTACAACTAAATCATACATTAAAGCATTAACTCTTTGCTTAGGTGCCTACCAGAAAAATCTGGGAAGAAGCTTCATTTAAGTAAAAATTAATATGTTTGAAACATAGAGATCAAGTTTTTAAAAATTAGATTGATTCTGTGTCTGTGGAAGAGAAGGATATGTAGGGAATGCTAAGGAATAATTAGCATTAAACATTAAGCTTTTGGTGGGTAGTGGTGGTGGTGGTGATCTTGCTTATTGAAATTTCCTGAGAGTTCAATCAAGGCACTAAGGCAAAGAGGGCCCCGTGAGGAAGAACAGTGGAACAAAATTTCTGGAATTAATGTTTAGGGCCTTTTGTTATTATCTTATTTAGGAAAATGCAATATATTTTCCTATATAAGATAATATAAGAGGGAATACACCAAACAAGAACAATGATTGCATTATTTTTTCTCTCTTCTGACTTCTCCAGGAACCATGGAATATTAGAATCACCTCCCTTCACAGGTGAAGGGATGAAGCCCCTGAAGGGTGAAACATACAGCCCTAAGTAGTCTCTGATCTGGGCAGAGTCAGAGCCCGACAGGCTTGTTTACATCATGATTATTCAAGCCCAGCTTTTCTCCTATAGAAAGGCTGACTCTAAATGGTCAAGTAAGTTGGGTTTCCCTTAATATTTCTTGCATTATCCTACTAAGATAGAGTTTATTAGGCAATTGCTTAAAGAATTCTATCCCCCAGCCCTGACTCCCATGTATTACGTAAGCGAAGATAATTGTTTGGGAATTTAGCACAGGACGTTTTTTTAACTTAAAATTTGGATTTCATTTACCTCATAAAACTGTTGGGACTGGGCTGGATAACAATGAAGATCTGGTTACTGTGATGCTGAAACAGTTCAAGCCAGATAATAGCTCACCATGTCGGGGTAAAATGTTGGTATGTTGCACATAGGTGCATGAACTTTGTTTTTTAGAGAGACCAGCTTCTTAAATTTATAACAGTTACATTGTGAGGGAACTGTATTTGTCTGGATTTCACCTGCAGCTGGGCCCACAGCCTGTTGGAGGTCAAAAAATTTCTCATGACTCTTTTTTTTTTTTTTTACCCTGAATTGACAAGTTTAGAAGACAGGTTAATGGACTATTTCATCCTCCTGGACCTTGAAAAGCTGGTTGACCAATATTAGACTAGTACTGCTACGTTAGCGTGCTAGGGAAACCCTTTTGCTGCCCATGAAGATTTTCTATGACTTTTTGACTATATTTTGTGGGCTTCTGGGGACTGTGCTGCTTTCCTTTGTAAACCATCTTTATCCTTCTCATTTGAAGCAGAGTTGAAGTGGCTAATGCAGGGAATGCATGAATGGAAGCTTGCACCCCATCTGCCTTTCTTCAGCAATGCAGGTAGCTCCTAGCATTTATGTTATAGATATGTGAGGTCGGGGAAGGGTACTTACACCAACCTCTGGAAAAGATGAACTTCTTGGTGAATATTTATTGACTTATAATAGAAGCAAACATAGAAAACTAGTTCAGAACTTAGCCTTAATATGCCTTTTCTCCTGGAAGTAAAATTATTTTCACTGTGAGAGAGAAGACATTGGACCTTAGCTTCCAGAGAACCTGGATACATTTTATTCACTCTTTAGTACCAATTCAGTCGCTATTGTGGTACCTGAATACATTTTAAAAGCTTTAGCAAGCCTTAGGAAGAGTAGGACTCAGAATCATTTCCCTCTCTCAAGCCAAAAAGTGTTTCTGAGGGACACAGAACATCAGGTCATCTAGTTGGGAATATTGGGAAAACTGTCACAGGCAATTATATTTTCTTGGCACCTGTGTCACCAAATATTGTTCTATCTGAGACACCATTTACTGGTTTAGTTGATTCCCACAGAAGCTCAGAGAGAGTTGTTAGTTTAGCCTCAACAGTGGAACACGCCTTGGATTTGAACTCTGATCCTATGTATTGAATATGTGCCGTGTGTGTGCACACACTGGTTCAGAAGTGTTCTGCATTATCAGTAGGAAATCTGTTGGCCTTATGAAGCTGAATGAGAAGAAGGCATCACTAGAAAAAATGAAGTATAAATCTTGGTGGGGACCAGATGCCCCCTTTTCAAGCTTGGATTTCCTTGTCCCTGGGTCCGCTGTAAACAACCATATGTTTATCATGGTGCTGACTCAGAAATAGGACAGAGAGCCTCCTGCAAAACCAAAAAGAAATGTTACTTTATTGCGACTATAATTCTTTGACTTTGTTCACTTCAGATGTTTTACTAGTGAGTTTTGATGACTCCCACCCCTTATGTGAGAATGTGCATACTTTGGAAACTTGAATTTATCCAAACAAGCTACCTATGACTTGGAGTTTGGGCATAAGTTTTAAATTCAATGCTCAGTCCAAACGAATCTGGTTCCAGGCCCACTCCAAGGGTGGTCCCAGGGATGTTTTTTCAGTGCTTGTCCCAGACCACACAGGCAGCGTTGTTTCTGAGGGCAGCATTATGGGGAGATGTAGATGGTGGTTGGTGGCAAATGCACTGCAGAGTCATTTTCTTGGGCATGGTATCTAAGAAGCCTGAGATTTTCACAAGAACCAGCAGAACCAGGAGTGGAGAGTTGGGGAGATAGAGAAGTAGGCCTAAAACTTCCCTCTTACGTCTTTTTTGACTTAATATTTATTTTGACTTATTTTGGGTCTGTCCTGGTGCTATGGCCTATCACAAAGGACTGGTTTAAGAGAGAAGCCACAGCCTTGCGGGACAAGTCTCCAACACCAGCAGAAAAGCATGGACCCTGATCAGTGGGAGGCAAGAGCCTCTCCCATTATTTCTGGAGGCAAATGGTGCCTTCTAGTGAAATGGTGCCACCATTGCTAATGGGGGTGCCTGTTCTCAGGATGTGTGGAAACTCAGGCCTAAGGGTTTCTACATGGTTTATTCAATCTAACTGCATACCTAGCTTAGCAGAATGGAGGTGGACAAAAGTGCTGAAAGGATGAGGGTAGGCTTTTAGGGCAAATCAAGTCACAAAGCAGATGATTGAGGGAGGTTACAAAGCTTAGGCAAAATTAAAGTTGGGCAGTCCCTTAGCTCCTTTTGCAAGAATCTCTGGAGAAGGTAGTTTGAATGTTTCTCTTGAGATTTTAAGAAGTGCTCATTTCTTTTTCTTTTCCCCCTCCCTTCCTTTCTTTTTTTTTTTTTTTTTTTTTTTTTGTTTGTTTGTTTTTCATTGAATATTCTCAAAAGACAATCAGAGGCCTGCCAGGGAGGGACTCCTGTCTGGTTCCAGCACTGTCCTTAGGCCTCTTTTTTAATACTGACTTGGAACTGATGCACTTTGTTTAATGTATTTTGCCTTTTTTTTAAGCTGCTCATTTAGAACAAAATCAAATGCTTATTGCATTGTATCCTTCCTCCTTGCTGTTTTTCCTCTTAATTTCAAAAGTTATGCATTGAAGATAAAAGTACACTTAAGTATGCACAAGAATACCTATTAAAATAACTCCCATCAAGTTTGATGGTATAATTTCAAAGGATTAAAAAAAAACTATTTTGGATTAATATTTTGCGTGTTTTTTTGTAAATATGATTGTATATAAACTTGTGGTACATTATGACAGTTTTAAGTGGTTGTGAGAAAACTAAGGAAAACAGGTCTTAAGCTATGTTTAACCTTAAATTTGTGCTGATTTGACAACAAGGAAGGCATTTTGGCCAGAGTAAATTTTTCAAAACTCTTTCCAGTGGGACCTCAGAGAATCATTTCCAAATGGATGAGAAATTCCTTCCTACTTTAATAAAATTCCAGAATTCTTTCCCCTCTCTTGCTGTCTCAACCTTTCCCTTCTGGATTTAGGTGCTTTTTAATTCCAGTTCAGGAAAGATAGGAAGAGCAGAATTTCTCCACAGCAACCCTGCTCCTGGCATTGGGGATTCTGCCTCTGATCTCTGACGACTGCTTGTTTGTTCCTCTGTGAGCCTTAAGGATTCCTCCACAGCTGGATGTGCAGAACAATTCTTTGTCAAAAACATCACTTTTCAGCTCTGTGTGCAGTTTTCCTTGAGCTGCCTGTGTCTTCAATCAATAATCTCCCTACGCCCAACTACAGTCTCTTCTCCTTTAAGATGTAGCCTCTTGTTTGATTCTCTCTAAACGTGAACTGCTAACTGTTGAGCATCCTCATAAGATCCCTCTTAGAATAAAGACAGTCATGGAATTTTAATTTTCCCTTATCCATTTGTTTTCTTAATCTGATTTTCTGTATTTGCCCACGGCCAGTACTTGTGGAGAGCTTAAAATTTTATAAATTAAAATTCCATTTAAATTAAGCATTTTGTCGCATGTTCTCTGTGCCAGGCACTATGTTGAATTTGAATTGAAGGGTGAATAAAAACCATTCCTGCCCTCAGGAGGCTCACACATAGCTGTAGGAGGGAGATATTTCTACAGCTGTCAAACTTAGCAGTCTGAGAAGTTTTGGTGGAATGGTACACACAGGGTAATCTGGGAGCAAGAGGGAAAGAGAGAGGTCAGATAGGCCTTGACACATGAGGAGCAGTTCATGGGGCAGGGAAAAGGGAATGGCATCCATGCAGCAAAGGCATAGAGGTGTGAAAATGTAAGAGAAGGCTGGAGAATTGCATTTTTATTCTCTAATCAGGTTAATATTCCTGTTCACCAAGAGAGCTTTTAGATAGCATTTAACCCTCTTAGGTAATTGGAATGGGGGGCCTATTTAATAGGGAAACTCTTTCCTAGAGATGATATTTACTGTTGAAAACATGTAGCTCAGCATCAACTGGATTCACACCATGTGTTCACTGACGTTCTGCAGCAGGAAGATCAGGGGCTCTAGAGCACCAACAAGATGTGTCCTGAGAGAGCCTAGACTGGACCCGGAAGGTTGGATGAGAGAATGGGGACTCGGGCTCTTGGAAAAGGCAGAGTGCAAGTTCTGAGGAGTTGGAAAGGGTTAAATGTGAGTCTGTGCAGGGGGAGTTGGAGCCTGGCAAATACCAACCATTTGTCTTTTATGCTCAAAAGATAGTTGTGCACCCTAAGTGAATAAGGTGGGATATGTGCATGTCAGGTTTTCAGTGTGAAACCTTGTATATTTCAAAATGAAAGTGATTGGATTCAGGTGATCATTTAAATTATGTCTATGAAAAAAAGAAAATAGATTCGATAAGCCTTGAGCTAGGGAAGTAGGAAAAAGACTAATAATGTCTGGGTTGGAAGGAAGACTCCTGTGCTCAGTCTTAGATTGTTTTCCTTATTCACTCCCTTCAGAATAATCCAGGCTGCAAACTATTGGGCCCCACCCCACAACTACTGAATCGGGATCTCTGAGGGTGGAATCCAGGAATGTTAATAAATTCTCCGGGATATAAGGGATTTGCCTTAGAGGGAAAAATAATTTGGCCACAGGCCGTCCTAGCTCCTACCTCTGGACCTGGAGCTTGTGATTCCCGGCTCTCATTCCGGTCTGCGCTGGCGGCCCACCTGGCCTGTCTACCTGCGGGCGTGGCGCCGCTCGAGGCGGGAGTGGGACCCGCGACCCCGCCCCCTGGGCCGGTCGGAGACCCGCCCCTCAGGGGGGAGGAGTCGCGGCCGAGGCCCGCCCCCAGCCAGGGCTGCGCCAATTAGGCGCCGCGGTCTCAGACGTCGGGTTACGCGCGGCGCGGAGTCGGCCGCCGGGCGGAGGTACCGGCTCGGGCTTGGGCTCGGGCTCGGGCTCGGGCTCCCGGCTGCGGGTTTGGCGGCGCGGCCTCGGCAGGCAGCGAGGCCGGGCGGGCCCTGGGCCCCCGCGCCCCTCCCGCCAGGCCTGCGATGCAGGGCCCCGCCGGGAACGCGAGCCGCGGACTGCCGGGCGGGCCGCCCTCCACAGTCGCGTCCGGGGCGGGCCGCTGCGAGAGCGGCGCGCTGATGCACAGCTTCGGCATCTTCCTGCAGGGGCTGCTCGGCGTCGTGGCCTTCAGCACGTTAATGCGTGAGTCTGGGACCCCCTCCCCTCCTGAGGCCCTGCGCGGCAGCCGCGGCCCAGACGCCCCTGGGGTCCCTCCTGCGCGGAGAGTTCCGGCCTGGGGACCCGAATCCTTCCTCCCCCGCAAACCCAGGCTGGGCATTCCCACACTAGGGGGTATGCCTAGTCTGAGCCCCTCGCCTACTCGCCGTAGCCTCCAGCCGGGAGCGACCCTTCCCCTTTCCACCTTAAATGTCTGTCTTCTGAGACGCCAGCCTAAAATTCGCCCATCTCCCACCTTGCCATTTCGAATTGTTACCCCACTTCCCAGCCTGGAGTCATGACCCCCAAGGGTGACATCCCCTTGTCCGTCCCGTCTCAGGGGCTCTTCGTGCTTGGAACCCCCATCCCTCAATCCCCAGTGGGATGCTGAGCTCTTTTCTACTCCTTCACTCTTCGAGGATTCACCCGTTCACATTTAAATCCTGCTACTTTGCATCCCTTTCAACACCTGGAGTGTTAGGTCCCTGCCTTTCGTTTCCCAGCCCCCGCCTCCCTCTCCGTGGCCCTTCTCCCTCAGCTCTATTTTCCCCTTTTTCAGGGCAGGACCACCTAGACTGCCTTCTTCCCAAGATTGCCTTCCTCTCCTTTCTTCCAGAACAGGCCCACCTGTTCAATCTCTGTCCCAAGCTTTCCTAATAAGCTGCATCTATAGCTTCTCCTGGCTGTTTCCTTTCCCAACCCACTTTTATTCTTTATATTTTAAGTTTCCTTTTCCATGAAACTTGGGCAACCTAGTGGCTGAATAGAGAAGGAAGCCCTCACCCTGTTGTCATGTGAGCTGTGAGGTAGGGGTTTCTGTTTTTCTTCGTGTACGTCCTTCCCTTCTTAAAGTAACAAGAAGTTTTGTTCGGCATGTAAGCCTAGGAGTGCCCTTGTGGTTGGGTTTTAGAGGGAAGGAAAGGTTATAATTGTGCAGAGTCATTAATTCCAAAATTGACTTGTTCTCAAAATTTCCCCTCTGTGCTTGTGTGGGCAGTGTGGAGAGTTCCTGCAGAAAGTATGCTTTGGGGGTACTCAGGAGGGATCCTGCAGCTGTGTCCCTATGTCTTTTAGGGTTCAGTTGCTGGAGTGGCCACCTTGCTTGTTTATAACTTGGGGTTTCTTTGAGTGAATGCTCTCAGGCTTTAGGTAACCCTAAAGAGTCTCTGATGATGGATACCGCTTTTTTTCCGGTGGCCTGGCCTTGATAAGTCTTACAAGTGCCCATCTGTCTATGTTTGCCACTTTTTCTTTCCTTTTTAATCCCAACTTGCCTTGCTTTTTCTCTGCTAAACAAATACCCACTTGTTCCCACAGTAATAATTTATGGCAACTTAGCCAAAATCCGCTGCTGACTTGAGCACATATACTGTATATGTGTGTTTTCAAGACGTGGTGAGTGGGTCTTCACACCCCTTCTACTTGCTCTCCTCCAGACACCCTTTCTCTCTGAAGGAACTGTAGTTTACATTTTTATTTTGCTCCCTAACCTGAGGTTTCTTAGCCTAGCTCTAGCTGTTTCCATGGGTTTGATTGATGCTGATGGCCCAGCTTATCCCCTAGGGTTTGACACTTGCAATTCAGAGAAGGAAATGTGATTATGACAGGGCAGAGTTGCTCGCAGCTGAGAAGTGTGCCGGGTTGAATGTGTTCAGAGTGGAGTCTTCAGGGACATACTCACTTCTTTACTTAATCTTCAGTGTGAGCACATGTGCAAATCCCACTGTGGTTGATGCTTTCTGTGTGCAGAGATTGGACTAGAAAGCAGTCTCTTGATCAGTGTGAGGCTTGACCTGGACAGAGCTCGTGGAAATGGCTGGTGTGTCCTGGGGTGATGTGGGGTAGGAGTGATGGGGGGAAGAGTTGGAAAGGCTAGAGCCATGTCTGCCCTGACACATAAATGGAGGTAAAAGCAAGAGCCTCCTCCCCCTGCCTAGAAGCAGACAGAGCAGGCCAGGGCAATTGCATTCTAGGAGCCAGACAAGGAGAAGCCCACTGACTGGGATGCAGTCAGGGTGGGGCCCTTCTTATCTCTCAAATTTCTTGGTCCTGTTGAAATAGAACTGCTGGGAAGAGGAAGCAATCTCTAAGGTGGAAGAGGAAAGGGATGGAGGTAGCCGGAAGGAAGTACACCTGTGAGCCATTTGGCTTTGTCCTGGGCTTCTGGTCCTCCCCGTCAGAGTCTGCCTTCTCAGTCTGGCGGAGCTGCCAGGAGGGGCGTGTGGTAAAGGCCAGGCTCCCCTGATGAGGCTCCCCCTTGCAGCCCTTGAGAAAGGGAAGTCAGTATGTTAAGGTGAGGCCACTCCCTTCTTCCTCAGTTCTGTTATCATCTTCAAACATTTAAAATACCAGCCAGTCTGTTCTGAGCAGTTTAAACACCCCTATCCTTTCAGGGGCTGTTTTTGAGGTCACAGTCTTTTTCCCTTCCGAGTACCTGTGGCCATTGAGACAGTGGGCTCCTTGCCTCTCTTCTGGAATGCGTCCCCAGTCCTGACAGCAAATACTGTTGTTTCCTGTTGGACCAGCTCTGACTGTAGAATGAACCCACTTCCCTGCAGACAAGCTGTGAGGTAATTTTCCTTACTTCACCTCTCTGATTTAAGTGACTCCTCAGGCCACTGTCTATATGTTCCTTTTTCTATCCAGAAAATTTACTTTTTTCTCCACTTACACGCTGCTGTGTTTTTTTCACCTTGTGGGGGCTGTTGTCCTGAAGGAAGATTACGTATATAGTTAATGTCTCTGGGGAAGATTCTGGTTCTGCAAGGATTTCTCATTCTGATGCTTTGATAGACTTCTTGCCTTACTGTGTAGGGTTTATAGACCCTCTCCGTCCAGGCCGTTGGGAACGTATATGCCAGGTCATGCATGGTAGCCCGTTCCTCATGCTGCATAAACACACAGACTGTTACAGGCCACCACCCGTACGCATGTCCCAGTGTCAGCACTGCTTTGTTGAGTTGGCAGGCTTTCTAGAGTCTCCAGCTAATAAGGTAGCCTGTGTATGCAAGGAAAGGCAAACATATTCAGAGTCAAGCATATGAAGATACTTTCCACCTAGAATTTTCTGAAGTGTCTACTAGGTATCTGCATAGAAAGAAATGCTTTAAACAAGGGGGCTTTGTCACAGTCTGCCTGCCAAACAATTCCTCGTTTTGGTGGCTTTGTTTATAGTCTGTGACTTGACAAAGTTGCCCAGCTAGGGTCTCAGCAGAACAGAGCTGAGCAGTCCTAGAGCTCAGCAAACCGTTCCAGTACAGGGTAGCCACCCAGCTGTCAGCCAAAGGTCGTGTTGGCCAGTGTGTGTGTTGGCATTTGGGGGTA